GACTTAGAATCGGTCTCATTGGTCCCCGTTAATTTTTTGTCTTCAATTGTCGTCCCGTCAATCACCGCCTTTTTTTTTTTACTCCTTTTTTTTTCTTTTTCTTTTTCTCTGTCTCTTTTTCAATTATCAACTAATAAAATCAACTAAATAAAATAGCTCCATTATAGCAATTATAATGGAGCTCAATCATTTTTATTATATTTTCCGACTTTAGTTGGATATCAATCCCATATAAAAATAATAATAATAAATGCACCAAATTTTACCATTAAATTTTAAAATGAGTTTATAAAATTATTGATTTTAGTTACCATAAATTTACGCGTATATAGTTATCTTATATGGGAATCATTGTCATCAATTAAATAAATTTTTTAATATCCAGCATTTTGATATGCTATCTATGTTACAAATAGTTCTTGTCAAGATACGTTAACATCTCACACATGTAGACATGTAAATGCTGACTTGGAGTGCCCTATGTGTGGAAATGAAAAGGAGTTCGTGCTTCATTGTCTTATGTTTTGTGAAATAGCACGGGCGGTATGAATGGGCTCCCCATTCGGTATTCAGGTGTCTGAAATTCAAGTAGATGACTTCGTTACTTTTTTTTGACAATATATCATGTACCTTACAGAAGGAACAGCTTGAGCTTTTCTATATTTTATGCTGGAAATTATGGAGCTGCAGGAATGGGGTGTTGTGGACTGGTCAACAAGCAGCTCCCCAATAGATCAGTGTGTATTGGAGATAATTATGGATTGCAAATAATTCTGATTTTAGTATATCTGATATATATTTGAAATATCTGGTATATTTGAAATATATTTGACATATTTGTACTTATCTCATAGAATTTTTTAGTTATTATTTAGTAGGATTTCTCAGCTGATTTAGCTCAGTTGATTTAGCCGCCTTTTACTCTAATCTCTTGTATATATGTTGTATTAATCCTTTTCAAAGTAACATACAGAAACAACATTCCATTCATAAACTTATCATGGTACCAGAGCTTTCTTTGCTGCGTTTCTTTCTGTAAGTCATAAATCTATTTTTCCATACCATGTTAGCCACCACAGAAAATGCAACTCCTTTTACAAGCACAACAAACATGTAGGCAGATCCATCATCTCCCTTTTATCTGCATCCTTCTGATGGTCCAGGCACTACACTTGTGACACAACTTATGTCAGGGAACAATTATCCCACATGGAGCCGTGCAATTACTATGGCTTTTGAAGCAAAAAAATAAACTTGGATTTGTTGATGGAACAATTCCATAACCAAGTGCTACATCAGCAACATATACTATCTGGAAACGTTGCAATAGCATGGTTCTTTTGTGGCTTCTGAATGCTGTCACCAAGGAGATAGCCAATAGTGTGGTCTTTATGAAGACAACTCGAGCAGCTTGGCTTGATTTCAAGGAACGGTACTCACAGCATAATGCCCCACATGTTTTCGAAATTCAAAGGTCCATTGTGAATCATATGTAGAGAAATGATTCAATCACAACATATCACACCACGTTGAAGAGTTTATGGGATGAGTTGTCTATCTACAACACCTATCCTACGTGCACTTGTCGGACTATGTCCGAAATCATTTCTCTGGAAGAACAGTGGCACCTAATGCAATTTCTCATGGGACTTAATGAATCTTATAGCAACTTGAGGAGCCAAATCCTGGTAATGAGTCCTTTACCTACTGTTACAAAAGCACTATCTTTGGTTTTACAGGATGAGAGGTAGCGCTCCATTCAAGTACTTTCTCAACCACCTTACCCAGAGCAGTTTGCCATGGCTGCAAGTAATGTGCAGAGGTCTTATTCTGGCTATCGACAGAGTCAGTCTTTCAAAATAAGGGTACCAAACCTTTCTATCATTGTGATTTATGTGGGATGGATGGTCATTCTGAGTCTCGTTGTCGTACAAAGCTAGGCAATTCTAATTTTACACAGAGGAGTGAAACTAGGGAGTTTCACTCTCAGCAATCACGATTGCAAAATAGACCTATGGTTGCAGCTGTCGATCATGAGGCATTACATTTAGACTGTGACCAACCTTTCACTCAAGAACAAATTCAATAGCTTCCTTCCCTTATTCAACCAAATATCACAAATTCTTCTGATTCTAATCCATTAGTCAACATGGCAGGTAAACTTTCTAGTTTTTCTCAATTTCATATTCCTTGGATTGTGGATTCCAGTTGTACAAGCCATATTACTAGTAAGTTATATTCTTTGCATGACATTCATCCTTATCATGGACTTCCAGTAAAGTTACCTAATGGAACTCATGTACCCATTGCTCATTCTAGTTCTCTTAGTTTCAACTCTTCCTTACATTTAGACCAAGTTATTCATGTCCCTTCATTTAAATTTAACCTCTTATCAGTTAGCAAAATAACAAAAGCCTTAAATTGTTTTGTTTTATTTTTGCCTAATTGTTGCATTTTCTAGGACCTGTTAATGAAGAAGGTGGTTGGTTTGGCGAAGGAGCATGATGGTCTTTACTACCTAGATACCACCAACAACAATTCATCGAATATTTCCCTTTTTGCAGCTACTTCACCCTTAGACGTTTGGCATTGCAGGCTTGGGCATCCTAGTTACAGTTCTTATTCTCAATTTTCCAATTTAGAAAAGAAGATTACTTTTTTCAATAATTGTCCTTGTAATGTCTGCCCTTTAGCTAAACAAAGTTGACTAAGTTTCCAAATAGTTCTATCTCTACATCTCATTGTTTTGATTTAATTCATATGGATATTTGGGGGCCTTATTCTACTCCATCCATCACAGGAGCTCATTATTTCTTAACGATTGTGGATGACTTTTCTCGCAATACTTGGGTTTTCTTAATGCAACATAAATCTCAAACATTCAACATATTGCAAAATTTCTTCTTCATGGTTAAAACACAATTTAATGCCACCATACGTTGTGTTCGTAGTGACAATGGTGCAGAATTTTTTAGTACTAATATTGTTACTTTTTTCAACTCACTTGGTGTTGTTCATTAGCACAGTTGTGTAGATACACCTCAACAAAATGGGGTTGTAGAGTGCAAACATAGACATTTGTTAAATGTTGCAAGGGCACTTCGTTTTCATTCCAACCTTCCTTTAAAATTTTGGGGTGAATGCATATTGACTACTATGTATCTTATTAATCGAACACCTTCAAAAGTGCTTAAGGGCAAAACACCTGTTGAAATTTTGTTTAATAAAGCTCCTAAATATGCGCACTTGCATGTCTTTGGGTGTTTATGCTTTGGACGTAATGTCCACATCAAACATAAATTTGATTTTCGAGCACATCTAGGCATCTTTATTGGTTGTCCTTTTGGACAAAAAGGTTACAAAATTTTTGACATTCGAACTCAAAAGATTTATGTTAGTTGTGATGTTACTTTTCATGAAAATGTTTTCCCATCTAGTGTTGTGACCACTAATGCCTCCACTTTGTCCCTTCCACTTCCTATTTCAAATATTGATTTTCCCTTAATGGAACATGCTGATTCATCGTCTTCACCTGCATCACCTACAAATGATATCATTTTACATCTAGCCTCCATTACAACTAACCCTCCACCAACTCCTCCTATTGTTCCCATACCAGAATTGCGACGTTCTCAACGATGGACCCAAATTCCATCAAGGTTTAAGGACTATCACTGCTTCAACGTGCTTACTCAATCATCTTCTCCGACTTCAGGTACACATTTTCCCCTTCATCAATACTTGAGTTATTCTCGTTTTTCTCACCCATATTGTGTTTTCCTTCATTCTTTATATTCTGATATTGAACCTGCAACATTTACCCAAGCTACTAAGTTTCTTGAGTGGAGGAAGGCCATGCAGACTGAACTTAATGCCCTAGAAGACACACTCACATGGTCTCTTGTTTCTTTGCCTCTTAATAAATAACCGATTGGTTGCAAATGAGTTTATAAAATTAAAAGGAAATCTGATGGCAGCATCGATCGATCCAAAGCCCATCTTGTTGCTAAAGGTTATACACAAGTTGAAGGTATTTATTGTCATGATACTTTTGCACCTGTAGCTAAGCTTGTGACAATTCGGGTTCTTTTGGCTATTGCTGCTATGAAACAATGGTCCCTACATCAATTAGATGTTCAAAATGCCTTTCTCCATGGTGATTTACATGAAGAAGTGTATATGTCATTGCCTCCTGGACATCCTCGCAAGGGGGAGCATGGTCTTGTCTGTAAGTTGAACAAATCCCTTTATAGTCTTAAGTAAGCATCACGCAATTGGTTTGCCAAATTTTCTCATGCTTTATTTGCTATTGGATTTACTCAATCATTTGCAAATTACTCTCTCTTTTCTTTGTCTCATGGAGCTTCATGTGTTATGTCTTGGTGTATGTCGATGATATGGTGATCACAGGTAGTAGTCCTCAACTAATCAACCAAGTGAAAGAATTCTTATTTAGTCAATTTTGCCTTAAGGACTTAGGTCCTCTCAAATATTTTTTGGGTATTGAAGTTGCTTCTTCTCCTCAAGGCCTCTATCTTTCTCAACGTAAGCACACTATTGAGCTTCTTAATGATGCTAGACTTCTTGGATCTCAAATTGTTGATACACTTATGGAGCAGAATCTGAAGCTTCTTCCTTCTGATGGTTCTCTTCTTATTGATGGTTCCATGTATCGCTGTCTGATTGGTCATCTCATATATCTCACCATTACAAGGCCGGATATCTCCTTTACAGTAAACACATTAAGTCAGTTTCTTCAGTCTCCTCAGAAATGTCACTTGGATGCAGCACATCGATTGCTTCGATATTTAAAGAAAACCCCAAGTCAAGGTATTTTACTTTCTTCTAAGGGCTCTCTCCAATTGACTGCTTTTTGTGATTCTGATTGGGCAAGTTGCCTCACCACTTGATGCTCCACCACCGGTTATTGCATCTTTCTTGGTAATAGTCCTATTTCTTGGAAGAGTAAGAAGCAAAACACAGTCTCTCTTTCTTTTGTTGAGGCTGAGTACCGTGCTATGGCCACCACAACTAAAGAAATTATCTGGTTGCATAGCTTATTGTCCACCTTTAGTATTCAACTCCCTACTCTTACTCCATTATATTGTGACAATCGAGCTGCCCATCATATAGCTGCTAATCTTGTTTTCCATGAAAGAACAAAGCATCTTGAGATAGATTGTCATATTGTTCGTGAGAAATACCAAGCTGGTCTTATTCTTCCACTCTCTATTGCTAATGCAGATCAACTTGTTGATATCTTCACAAAGGCATTAGGCAAAGATCGCTTCTTCTATCTTTGTGACAAGTTGGGCATTCGGAATTTTCATGCTCCAGCTTGAGGGGGAGTATTAGAGATAATTGTGGATTGCAGATAATTCTGATTGTAGATAATTTTGATTTTAGTATATCTGGTATATATTTGAAATATCTGGTATATCTGAAATATATTTGACATATCTGTACTTATCTCATAGAATTTCTTAGTTATTATTTAGTAGGATTTCTCAGTTGATTTAGCTCAGTTGATTTAGCTCAGTTGATTTAGCCGCCTTTTACTCTGATCTCTTATATATATGATGTACTGATCCTTTTCAAAGTAACATACAGAAATAGCATTCCATTCATAAACTTATCATGGTATCAAAGCTCAGGTTCTACCCTGAGCAGTCCGTTATTAGCCTACCTAACAGGACTTGAAGTTGATATCGGGCCTGCATTTAAGAGGGCGTGTTAACACACGTGACAGGACCCGACATTCATAGTGGGCCTGCATGTGAAGGGGCGTGTTAAGTGGGAAAATCCCACTTCGAGTATAAAAATAAAAAACTTGTGGGTTAAATATAAGGAGGGCTACTCCACCTATTGCCAATTGATTTTAGGTTGAATGCAAGCCTTGTGTTGAGCCTACATGCATAATTTTCAATATTGTGCATGGTATCACCTTTCTAGGAGAATATAGAAGATTAGTCCTATCAAAAGGTAGGGGGCTACAATGGTACAAAGGAGAAGTGAAACCAAGTGGAGACCACCAGAGGCTTGCTTTACAAAAATAAATGTCGGTAAAGCAGTTTCTGTGCAAAACAGTGCATATGGGATGCGTGTGATCGTGCAAAACCATCTAGTTGAAGTGTTGGTAGCCATGGCATGTAAGGAACAAGGAGCAATAGCCGTGGAAATAGTTGAAGCATGCAATCTGTGTATGACACTACAGTGGGCTCAAGATCTTACTTTCAGAAAGGTCTTCTTGTAAATAGATTGCGTAAGCCTAGTGACCGCAATTAACAATGAATTTCTTTCCACAAATTCAAGCCTCAGTGCTGTTCTTTTGAATTGTCGAATGTTGATGACTTCTTTTCTGCATTGCCTAGTCAACCATATTTGCCATGAAGGAAATGATAGTGTCCATGAGCTTGCAAAACAAGCCCTCTAGGCTGAAGCAAACGAGTATTGGATAAAGGATGTACCAATTAACATAGCGCATCTTGTAACAGGGAACCATAATGCGTTATGATATGTATTTTTCCTATTCTATATTATCCAATAAAGTATGCGCACCTTTCATATCAAAAAAGAAAAAAGAAAGGTTCTTGTCAAGATAGTTTAATTAAAGAGAAATGGAGAAAAGTTGAGGGTCCAATGTTTTAATTTGACACAATAATTTCCCTCATCTTTGTCTCTACTTCAAATTCCTCAAATTAAATAGACTTTCATTTATCCTATAAGTGTAGCAATTATGTTATTTTTTAAAAAATAAAAAATATCACAGAATTTTTTAAGTTGTCACCTTCAAAAATTAAACTTCAAGATTTATTACAAGAATTAATTAAAGACAAAATTTAAGTGTGTATTTAATGTAACTGATTTTATTAGCTTATAGAATTTTTAAAATTTGCATAGTTGTTTTTATCCACTATTAGCTGATAATTACAAACCAAAATCACCCAAACGCCCAAAAACATTTACATTATAATCATCTAAGCCTTGAGCAACGCCTTCATAATAGCCACAGCTACATCAGACAGACTATGAACAAGTTTGTTCCTCTCTGTCAACGGCGATTTCAACGACCCAGAAAAGTTCTTCTCGCCTTCATAAGAATAATTTTCTTCTAACAGACTTGAATAAAGAATTTGCATGTGTTTTTTCTATTGAATCGTTGAAGACACAATTCTTGGGTATTGACTTTGGAATCTCTAGTTTAACCTGCATCTGCGAGTGTTGAAGTGAGTGAGAACTGAAGGATGACGTTCGAGTCAATGTCAATACTAGGTAGTTCGGAGTATCTGGATTTGTTTCCAGAGAGGAGAATGTCATATTTCAGTAATCCTTATATTGTAGAATTGACGATTGTTGTTGGCATCGGTGGTTTGCTCTTTGGGTATGATACAGGCGGGATATCGAGGCCCTTCTTTATATAAAAGTTGACTTTGAGGTGGTCAATCAGAGTAGTTTCCTGCAGGAAACAATTGTCAGCATGGCACTGGTGGGTGCAATGATCGGAGCTGCATTGTGGGGTTGGATCAATGATGCTTTTTGACGTAAAAAGTCTACACTCGTTGCTGATGTTGTCTTTACAGCTGGGGCAGTTGTCATGTCTGTTGCACCAGATCCATATGTGCTGATACTAGGTAGATTTTTCGTTGGCCTGGGTGTGGGGGTAGCATCTGTAACTGCACCTATATACATTGCCGAAGCATTACCATCTGAAGTGAGGGGTAGATTAGTGAGCACCAATGTGCTTATGATAACTGGTGGAGAATTTCTTTCCTTTCCTACCTTTTAAATCTTGCCTTTACGGAGGTTCGAGGAACATGGAGATGCATGCTTGGATTTTCTGCTGTGCCAGCAGCAGTCATTCAGTTTGTCCTCATGCTTTTGTTGCCTGAGCCTCCACGATGGCTTTTAATGAAGAATGATAAAAATCAAGTTATATGTGTGCTTTCTAAAATTTATGACCTGTCTCGGTTAGAAGATGAAATTGATCACCTAACTGCTGCTTCAGAAGAAGAATCCCAGAAGAAGAATGAGATCAGATACTTTAATGTCTTTAGAATAAAAGAAATCAGAATTGCCTATTTGGCCGGTGCTGGACTTCAGGCATTTCAGCAGCTCACTGGCATCAACACTGTCATGTACTACAGCCCAACAATTGTTCAGATGGCTGGATTCAGTTCTAATCAGCTAGTGCTTCTTTTGTCTCTGGTTGTGGCTGCCATGAATGCAGCTGAAACCACTGTTGGCATTTACCTTATTGATCATGTTGGATGGAAAAAGTTGGCCCGTTCAAGCTTGTCGGGTGTAATTGTGTCCCTTGTCATCCTTGCTGGGGCCCTCTTTGCTGAATCATCTAGCTTT